AAACAAAAAAATGACTATAAACTATTGACTTTTGGGAAAAAAATACTTAAACAAAAAAATGCTTATATCAAAAAATAATTCAAGTGATAATATGGTGCACAAGTTTTAAATTGGGCTTTACTTTCATCCTGTTGTATTCCGATGAATATACCTAGTATACTAAAGTAAATGTTTTATAAGCAAATATAACTATTAACTATAGCCTATAGGTATTATCATTTAGATATTAGATTTGAAACTAAGAAACTTAATACTATAACTATCATTTTCCTGATAAATACATCAATTGTATGTGCTTAGTGTATTTGTAGTTTGTACAATAAAAAAAAAGATTTTAAGCTTGAATAACATTTAATCACCTATATGATATGAAATGAATTGTATTTGTTATGTTTAGTAAAATATATCCAGTATGTATAATTAATAATAATATAACAAAACTGTTTGGAAATTTAGTAACTATACATAATTTTACATAATAAAGGATCTTTATTTTTTCAATAAAATAAAATATTAACCCTCCTATTGAAGTTCGGTGTCCCATCTAATCACCCCTATATTATATGCATCCTATAATTTATCCTATACACCTATTATAAAAATATACTGTACAGGGTATTTAACCAAGTACACTTACCCAGGGGGGGGGACTATTGACCAGTTATTCATATTCAGATTTTTGGAATTTTTTTTTTAAGTAGGTAAAGTACTCAAAAACGCTATATTTTCATATACTTAGATTTTTATACAATTTAAAAAGTACGATGAGGCAATACAAACTTATTTTTTTTAATTGAGAACCAGCCCTTTTTTACTAAACATTTTTGAACAGATTATATTTTTGAAAAATATTATGAATCCACGCGATAATTTAAACGAGTACAGTTTCTTATACATAGTTATTGACCTTGATGTTTTAATAGGATAGTAATCCTTAACAGTTGTTAAACATTAAATTTATATGTAATCTATAATAGTCCAAAACAGTAGTAGGTACTTTATCCCACTGAGAATTAAAAAAATATTATAAATGATGACAATTAGTACATTTACAAGTGTAATTCTTAAATTAACAAAGCCCCAACCTATTTTTAAACCTAATACCATGGACTATCATACAAAGTATATAAAGTAAGTAAGTAACAACAAAAAGGTGGTTCTCATTTTAAAAGACGTTTGTACAGAGTAAAATATGTATCTAAGTATTTAAAATTTTAGTATGGTGTTAAGTGTAGGCACTTAAATATTCTAAAAACCAGAACTTGAACAACTTCATTATTAATAAATGAAAAAATGGGGATGAGCATGTCTGAAACTGAGTTTCAGAAACTCCCTGTATATGAACAATATAACTCATATTATAATGGTGTGAACCCCACTCGATTAATAATATATCCAAAAATGTTTAATTCTTTGCGGTTTTTATTTTTTTCAACGTATACAAATTACAAAGACGAATATATTTGATATTTAACTACGTCAAGTCGCTTTTATGGAGCACAAAAGAGTGTAAATAAAATAAAAAAAAGCTTTTGTTTCATCATCACTGGTGCTGCTGCCGTATCACGTAATTTGTTAGAGCATTATACCCACAGAGACAGAATTCCAATCAAAATCTAATTCATTCATCATCGGATATAATATTATTATCATCCAAACGTTAGAAAAAAAAACCCTGATCAGATTTGGAGGTGTTGAGTAAATTTAATTATTATGAATGCAAATTTGGATTCTTTGAATTATCTGAAGTCCTCCGAACATTCAAAATTATTATTTTTATTTGATTACTGTTACAACCTTTAAACTACCCAAGTTTGAATACTTATATTATGTATACTATGAATACTATATTATATATGTACCAATATAGGTGGTGGTGTACCTACCTCATAAATGTCAAAAGTTATTTTTTTTTTTTATAAATAAGTACTTCCTTTGACGGGAAGCCACCTCCATGTAACGGTAATATTTTTTGATCCCAGCTAATAAAATATATTAATATCCCTTTAAATAACAGTATAATATAATACCGATATGTCCAAAATAGAAAAATGTTAAATTGTTTTCAATTATTTACGACACTACTGGTTATCTAATAATTGAACATTACGATAACGCAATGAACAAGAATCAATTTGTTTAAATCCCCCAATAAATTTCGAAAAAATGTGTTCAAATATTAAAATTAATTTAAAACAAACTAATACCTAGTAATAGTATTATTTTTAATATGCAAACAAATTTTAAATTTTATACAGTACATAAAAACATTTCCGTGGTACATGTGGTACAGTTGTAGGACATGTGGTATTATATACATTTTTTATTATTTACATAATATTATGTATCTAGTATCTTCTTCTAAAATTTGCATGCACTCTATACAGTGGCCGGCCACCTCTAAATTTCACTTCTGTTAACAGTCACCTCTGTATGACTGCCACGAGTCCCCCTCTAAATAGCGGTAATTATTTCCTGTCCCTTAAATGACCTTAATATGATAGTATACTAGTATTACTATAATAATATCATTTAGGTTAGTAATAATAATAATAATAATATACTTACAAGTATATTATAAAACATACACGGCAAGACATCAATCAAACACGTGTTTGAGAACTTAAAAATGTAAAAAAGCAATCGATGTCCAAATAATGTAAAAGCAAAACATTAGTGGCAATAAACTTTATATACATATTCCATATTATACACGTTATTATGGCAATAAAAATGTTTTTATGATGCAATTTAAAAGCATATTTTAACGTTTCGTTGTAATGGACAAAAAATAAGTTGATACATTAAAATATGTACATAATAGTTTATGTTATTGATCTAATCGTATTACTAATTTTATTATATTAGAAAATCGTAAAGTATCATGACAAATCGTTATTGATAACGCTATCCCGGATATACATATATATATTATATAATTTATATTTTTAAGTATATACATCGTAATAATAATATATACCGAGAAACGAAAACGGTTGGTCACGCGTGATTATGATATTGTAATAATATAATATTTCGTTTTAAAATCAACAACGTCAACGAAACGCCCGTTTTTCAAGCTCGTAGGCCACACATTATATTGTTGTGCATTCGTGTAATGACGATTGTGCGGAGTTCCGACGAGGAACGTTAAGTCGTGTCAAGCCAAACAACATATTTTAGTGTACTTATTATTATTATTGTTAAAGCCCGCGCTGAGATTATTTGTTTGGAATTCACACGATTTACGACCGATTACGTCGTTTGCGCGGGTCGACGTTTTACGAGTTTACTTATGTGTGGTCGAGAGTTTTCTTAGGCTTTTTTTCCGCTATTTACTTATTTATTTATTTGTTATTATAATTTTTTTCTTCTTTTTTTTTATTGAGGTTATAACTATCGAAATTTACTATATTTAAACGTTACGACCGATACCGCGGTGTATACGAACCACGAGTTGCGCCGCTATATACGTATAGACAAATATTGTACGAAAATACGCTACGTCACGCGTGCATAATATTATTATATGATAGACATTAAATTAGCTAGACGTATACACCGTAAACAATTAATATATTGTGAGTTTATTTTTCTTTCCATTTACAGGGAAATAACGCACTGCGGTGACAGCGGTATGACAAATCGCATAGTAATTATTATCAAACGGACAGAAGGAAACGAGTGTCACTATATAAGTAGTGTCTCCCAACGTTATCATCGGTCAACGATTACTGTTTAATAATATGAGCTCCTAAGCGGAAATAATTTTCTCACTCCCCATCGGTAGAGTGCACAAACTGTCACAATGTGTTACTGCAGCGACCTTCCGTGAGAAAACTGCAAATAAACTAATAATACCGGCTGCTATGGGGAAAATTAAAAATACTTTCGGTCATCAATACTGTAGCCCGGACGTACGAATTCCAAATAATTATTTGTACAATGACGTCCGATTACGCGATTTTCAAACGTCTGCGCATTGATATTCCCACGGTGTGCACACCTCTACTCGGATATAAATATCTATATTAGGTATACTTTGATTTAGCAGCTCGACTGGCGAACGTTTGGAGGGAAGATGGGATCACCCAAATCAGGTATTAACCAAATCATCATTCCTTTATCACCCACCCACCCCTCACACAACATATGTATATATGTATAATGTATATACCTTATACCTATAACAAAATATTATCGGAATTTATTAGATTTACAGTATAAACAGTAATTCTTCTAATTGTATGCTTGTATAAAATATTAATATAAAAACACCATATTAATTGGGTTGGTATGGTAAATTAATTTGAAAATAAATAAACATACTATCGGAAAAAACATATCACAGACAAGGCCAACGATCAGACTAGCAAAACGGAAAAGGAACTGCATTGGGGAAGAATATCGTATAATGAAGCCAGGGGGGTGTTTAAAACACCCTCCATCTGCCGAATTTATGCAAAAAATATATGTACCTACCATAATATGGGCATATGGAATAATACGATTAAGATTTCTACAAAATATGTTGTCGTATATAGTTGACTGGTTGTTGGTTCTATTTAATATTTGATAAAATAGAGATTGATGACTTTAATGTCTATTGTGTAAAAGCCACATTTTATAATATTTAAATATAAAAATAAAAATAAAAAAACCTGGCTACGAGGCTTAGTACAGCAGGAAATACCTATAGTATAGTATAGCTGCTATATACTCTGCAGCACGACAAGATGGATCGCCTACGGACGCAGCTGAAGATCTATAATATTATGTAAGAGCAAAGAGCCCACGAGCGAATTATTTGTTTTTGCCGAAACAAAAATGTTATGGTATGATACCTTACCTTTAATACCTAGCATATCATTTACTAAGTGCTGATGAGCAAGTGCCAACTAACAAACTAATATTATTCTGTATAATGACATAAATCGAAAGGTGGCTCGGGGAGGAAATGTGCAGCACGCAGCCACGTGGTGGTGTCCTTACGACCTTACCTGGAAGAAGAGGCAGAAGCACACCCACTGGTAGTAGCCGTAAGTTTTTCGGTCGTCCGCCTTGCCACGGGTGTTGTCTACGCCTGGGTATGGGACGGCGACGCCCACCTTCTTCTTGAACGCCTCCTTGATGGTGTACGTCGAGTGTATCCAACAGTACGTGTTGAGCACGTCCTCCGGTATGTCCTTGGTGTGCACGCAGTCGATCGGGTTGCCGACGTACTGCCGGGTGGTGACGATCAGGCTGAACGCGGACAACAGCATCACGGTCAGGCTGTAGTGGAGCCGGAACACGGGCGAGTCGATGTGCACGTGGCTGATTTTCACCAGGCTCTTCAGGCCCCGGAACACGTCAAGCATGGCGTACCGTGCCGGCGGGACACCCCATCCGTAAGCACCGCCGCATTCCCGCAACGGTCGCAATCGTCCGGGCTGTCAGCTGTCGCTGTCGGCGCCGTCCACGTCGACGACGACCAGCAGACGGCCGCCGCCGACCGCACCAGCGGCCGACATCATAGTGGCCACCGCGGTGCTGCTGTTGTTGTTGTTGTTGGTGGTAGAGGTGGTGGTGATGATGGCGACAGCGGTGCTGCTATCGCTGTCGCTGCCGAGGTGGTCGTCGTCGTCCTCCGGCCCGCGGCACAGTGCCGCTTCTTCTTGTCGTTCCTCCGCCAGACACCTGTGAACGAAACGCCGGCACGTCATTAGCATTTATATTATACAATGACGTGTCTTGTCAGTTGTCGATTTTTCAACCAGAGAAAAATTGTAAAAAAAAGATTTGAACAATTTTTTTATAAAACGCAAGAAAGCCGCATCAAGAACGAGTAACAACCTACACCAAAAACCACGTGTTAAAAACGGATCGAGAGAATAATATTCACAATGAGGTGGCCGTTTAGTAAACCGATCGCCCCCAAATGATCACGTGATCGATCTCTCCAGTGGCATATACTTGGATTTAAATTTGAGAAAAATTCAGTGTGGAGCACCCTACCCTATCCTGGTCACGTTAAGACTGCAATGAAGTGCAAAAAGTAGCTCGCCCAAATATTGCACGTGTTCAACGCTTCAATGACATACTATTAAGGTATTGTTTACATACGATACGACGACGAGTTTGAGTTACCCTAAGAAAACGTACCTACGTCTCGTGATCGATGTTCGAGCGACATGATGATATTATAAATACTCAGCAGTGATCGCATAACGCGTGTGGTAATATTTAATATACGTGATGGGTGGCGCCGCGACGACGACGTATAACATGTCGAAGGAAACGAATATATTCTGTTTGCGCGGGTCCGACATGTCGCACGATATTATTATTATATTATTATATGATATACACACTCATATTTCAGCTTACGTCATTTAAGTCGAAGAAGAAGAATAATATGTTTGCACAAAACACGCGACTTTCCTCACAGCGCACCGCCACGATCGGTTCTAAACCAGCCGCGGACGACCGTTAATAACACATATTATTATGAGCAGCCGATTTAAATTTTAGTGCTCCGTTTCGTAATACTTCCATGCGCGCGTTTCCAATTAGACGAATTAGAATATTATGTAGGTAGATACGTTGAAATCGACCGTTGCGGCAGCCGGCAGACGAAGAAGACTTTGAAAAATAATAAAAACTTCTTACGATAATTATTATTATGGTAATCGGTAGCGTATATAATATATACACGTATGTACATTATTATGTGTACGCGTATATTAATTAATGTAATATTATGTATACAAGAATCATATTTAAGCTCGTGTAAAGTGAAGACATACCCGGTCTGGAGAGGTACATACCGGCTATAAGTACACGTGACTCACGCGACACGATAATCAACGCATAAAAAAGTATAACGACGACGACGACGGATAAGACGATAATAATAATAATAAATACGCATAAGACGACAACGTCTTGCGGATGTTTATATATATATATGTATATGTGTGTGTGTGTGAGTGTGTGTGACCGCTAACAGGGTTAAGATATATTTGTATTAATATGATTACTATTATTATTATCGCATACACATAATATGCGGTCGTGTAAAAGACGTATATGCGCACTGTAATGACGACTGTCTGCTCGCCGCCGCCAAAAGGCTGGGACCCTAAGAATATAATATTCCTCGTCCCCTAGGTCGTAAAAAGAGAAATAAAGAAAAACGCAAAGACGAAGCCATTTTTATCGTCGCCGGACTGACGAGTTTAGCCGGCGAGGGGTGACCGACTCGGATCTGGTTTCGGATTATGCGGCACAGAGAGTATACGAGACACGGAATAATATTATAAATCAACCTCTATATAATACGCACGTGATGATAATAATTATGTATAACGCGTGTCGTTCACAGATTCTTTATACGGTTTATGTACTTATTTATTTATTAATATTATTACCAGCTTCTATATAATATAGCAGCGAGTCTCTAAACGACGGTAATTATTTCGTTATTATTATTGTCGCCGTAAAATAATTTTAACAAGCCGATTCGACGCTGAGAGACCAGTAAGACTATTATGGAGGCGAGTATATAGAGTCGGATCAAAACCGCTGCAGCCGCTGTTGGCAACCGTCTCACGAGTCTCACCCCTCGATCTAAACTATATCTTTCTGAACATAATAATAATAATGTTAGTATCGTTCGGTAAACCGTTCTCGATTTACGAATCGCCTACTAATAATTATGGGCCCGATACAACCGATAGGTATTCGTCCCATTTTTTCTTTCGATCATTATTAGATAATATGCATTACGGCGGTGTTTATCGTAAACCTTTTAACACGTCTCACCGCCGACGCCGTCGAGTAAATAAAAAAATCGGTAAACGCCACCGCCGACTGACTTTATATACCGCATAGATACAGCTATAATATTATTATTATACACCGGCACGAAAGCGTTTATTTCTGTTTTCACGCCACTGCTTGTATTAAAACTATTTAAAAAGGAAACGTAAATTAATCGACTATAAGGTCCTCGTCGAGACATTATCGTACATGCGTTCATTCAATAATAGCATATTTTAAGCGCGTGTGCTAAGGCTATCGTTATACCATCTACCAGTATTCGGGTTACGGTTTCAGAGATGTACTCGCCGTCAGGGTTATTTTACTCCACTATAACGGCCTAAATTGTAACGCTTCAGAAAAAAATCAACATACGGAAGCATATATAATATATTTATATATACGACCCGACGACCCATAACACTTACAGAGTGCCAGAGTGGTATTATCATGGTGTTCTGTCCGATTTTTAAGGAAGATGCACTTTTATTATTGAAACGTGGTTGATAAATTTAGTTGTTGACATAGACATAATATAGACATATCTATATTATGTCTATGGTTGTTGACACACAAGTTTTCAGCTGTAAAACAACTGATTAAACGTATTTTAGGTAAGTATGTTTTTGACACTCACAACAATTCGAAAATTATTATTTATGAGTAGGGCCGGCGCCGGATTTCAATGTAGAATGCATCTTTTTTGGGTAACCTTGGACAATTTTTTCCAAGTACCTACAATCTACATATTTGTTTCATGAAAAAGATACTTCAACGGTTAAAATTTTATTTTGCATTTTTCAGTAGTTTTGTTAGTTTTAATGCATATTTAGGTATAGATTAAACAACTTAGGTACTACTTTAAATTTAATTAATTTATAATATTATCTAAAAATAATTTATTAATTTATTTTCTTGATGTTAAGTTTAATGAATTTTCAGGTTTTTCTATACAAACTGTCAATCGTTCTATAGTACTCCGCTGCACCGCATAAATTGATCAAATCTTTTTCCATATAAATATGATAAGTAAATTATTTTAAGCTATTATTGTAAATTATAAATTAGGTAGGTAACAAATAATACATTGAATTAAAAAAATAATTTTGTATAACAATTTTTAAAGCTTTTTTCGAAGGTTTTTAGAGCATATAAGTCCGGGCACTACTTATGAGGTAATTTGTATAGACAAAAACTTAAAAGTGTTTCGTTTAATTATTCATTCCGTTGAAAACGCGATTCAAAAACAATTACAGATAAAACTTATTTACTTATTTCCTGCACCAAATCTATTTAACATTTTATTATACATTGCTCATGTCTCATAGTCGATAGAGAAAACTGTCAGTGGTCAGTATCATATTATGATATAGATTAAAGTGCAGGGTATTATTATTAACGTTGAGTATCGGTGTTGTCTATAGCTTCTTATTCCTATTTTGTGCCATCGACATATCTGTGTAAAAAATACACGTTTTCGTTAATATAGGTACACAAAAATAAATATAGAAATAAATTGAACATAGAAAGGGTTAAAAAAAAGGTTAAATCATTTTCTACATTCTCAATTCTTATCTGGAGTTCACCAGAGTTATAGTCGTCTCTAGTTTTGTTACGTTTGTGATCCCAGATCCGTTATCTCTTTTTTAGTTATCTTCTAATTCAGTTTTTACATTCCACTTATATTTTACCTGTGCTAAATGTCTCGTGGCAACTCAAGATTTACTCGAGTGTTCTGCATGCAAAAAAGTTTTCACTTTTTTCGTACACGCTTCTGAGCAAGGTTATAAAAAATGTCAAACAATACGTTAAATTTATTTCTATATTTATTTTTTATTTAAATTTCCCAACATGAACCCCGATATTAACGTCCTCGTTCACTTAAAATAACACTAATCGTCTCATTTAAATGTTTAAACCATAATAATTATAATAGTAAAAAAAATAATAACTGACAACTTACTGTAGGCACCAGTACCTACCTATTTAATTTTACATTTGAGCATTAAATATTTATATTTTCATAATTTTATTTTATTTTTAGTATCAATTACAAAGGTTATTAGTTTACGATTTTTTTATTTATAATTTTATAATTAATAATCTAGTTCCCCATAAAAGATTCTTGTACATGTAAAAAGAAATAAACATTTTTTAATAAACAACCAAAGAAGGTTATTAGATCAAAATTGAAAATAGTAGTGTACCCGAAAATGTTTAAAATGTATAGGTTCCTTTAGGTACATTGATCAGTATTCACTATTCAACATACTATTATTAATTATAAACATCGAAACGATATATAGGTAATATTTTACATATATTTCATTGTAAATATTATAATAAATTACACAGAATACTACTACTAACTTGGATCGTGTCACACTTCCGTGTTCTTTTCCTTTGGACTGTAAAATAAGATGATTTAAGTGACAATCTGGACAGATTTTTGTTATTTTTTTCAAATGTTGACCAACTACCATTTGTCTGTGCCATTTTTCTGACCTGTAGTGTAGTTATCGTATTGTACAAAATTGCACTAAATTATTATTTTTGGCATAGTTCAAGATTAATGGCATACAATACACTTTTTTACATCTATTATTTGATCAAATTAAAGGAATGCAGCGGCGGATTGGCCCACCGGGATACCGGGAAAATTCCCGGTGGGCCGGTTGTCGTATTATAACTCTGGGCCGATGTATATTTTGGATTAAAAATTATTTTTAAGTATATTGTATTTAATTATAAGATAAGATTGTTATTGTTATAAAAACCTAAACGTGATGTAAACAATTCTACAATAATTTATTCTATAAATAATAGCTGCATGGTTAGTGAACTAAGGTAAAGTGATAAAAATATTATTATCACGTAACATGTTCGTGGTAAATGATACAGCTGTTTT